GACAAGCACCGTGTTACTTTCCGTTGAAAGGATGATTCCGCGGCCTGCTTGTTTTCCAAGCTGCTGCTGCTGCGGTGGTAACTTTTGATAAATGTTTGCCGACGATCCGAGTTAAAATGATGCTGGAAGTGGGAAAATTTTATGTTAACGTACGAGGCGAGTTCATAACGACCATATTCCAAGCAGTGTATCATGACTAAAGCTGGAGTACTTAAAAGTCTATATCTTCAAGGCTATCCATTGATCATCAAACAATCATAAAGCATTTCCATCTCAGCCATGTGACCCCTTCAAGAAAATATTCTTAATGAGTAATCTCTCAATACTTCCGAACGTAATTAGAACTTTCTTAGATTTTGTTTACTGAAGTTCTCCCTTAACAGACATCCCTTGTGATAAGCATTTCCCAAACGTCAGGCCAACTCCAAATACAACGGAGAAAATTCCTGCGGGCGTCAGTGTACAAGCCAAGTATAAACAAACGGACTTCGATGCAATAATGAATCTTAACTTGAACTTGAATGTCTCAATATGCAAATACTTGTCTCAATATTTAACGGCATTTCTCTAGATAAATTAAAGAAAATTATAATTGACGAAAATGCAACCACGACGAAAAGTACTGTCAGTTACACATAGACGAATGTTCGGAAAATCTGTAATAAAGGTTGTAAATTGTTTGAATGAAAAATACCAAAATTAGTCTCAGAACCCTTGTAAGAAATTAATAAACTAGACCAATGAAATCTGTTAACGAGTTCCCGATTATATCACTAACACTAGCTAGCACCCAGAGGAGAACTTGCAACTTCAGAGTTTACTTTCACGCAGGATTTTGATGCGCTGAATCCGAGTCCGTGGTCCAAACCTCTGAACGAGCTCGAGTTTCCGAGATATGTCAAGCGATTTTTGCCTATATTTGATGTTATATACCATTGCGATTTTTTTTTTCATAAATACCAGGTGATTTATGGATTATTTCTTGATTTAGTGTGAGAATTAGGGGTACATCTTGTACAAATCGTGTTATTTTTCTATAATTTGGCAGATATTGTACAGGATCTATTACTTCAAAATGCCTCCTCATTGGTCAAATTGACGTCCTAGGCGCAAATTTCGCGCCCCGGGACTTAGGGGCACTAAAAAAGAAATATTTCAAAAACTCACTCTATTACACTGATCAACAGCAAAAAAATATCCTAAATAAAATCAACAAAATATTGCTATTTTTAATGTGCTAAAACCGGAATGAAACTTATTTTTTCAATATTAGTTTAAGTTTTAGAGATACGGTAATTATATGTGTTCCTGCTGTGACAGTGTTAATATACTGCAATTCACAAGAATGCACGTGCTATATTTTTATATTCGGCAAGGAAAGATGATGTAATCGGCATGATTGTGTTACGTTATACTCGTACATACGTGTACATTATATTGTTTTATATTAGCCATTTTTTCCTCAGTTGGCTGACAGCGTTCATGCAAGATGTCTCGAAAGTGTACAAACAATCCAGATCAGTTTTGTTACGTGTGTGGTGATGTGACTTTTGCGTCTCAGAGGCGGTCTATTACTCCACTAATAACAAAGGCATATCAGCTTTATTTCGGTTGTAAACTAGGTGATCAAGACAAACAATGGGCACCCCACATGTGCTGTAATACATGTGCTTCAAGTCTGAAGAGCTGGTTAAATGGCAAAAAACGGTCTATGCGCTTTGCTGTCCCAATGGTTTGGAGAGAGCCTACAAATCATATTAATGATTGTTACTTGTGTTGGACAAGCCACAGGTATGTCCAAGAAAAAAAAATCGGTTATTAACTACCCAAACATACCATCTGCGATGAGACCTGTGCCTCACAGTGACGAAAATCCTATTCCAAAACCCCCAGAATCCTACACTTGCGAATCAGAAAACGAATCAGATCATGGCGATCGAGTGATTCGTCAGGAAGAAGATATGCCATCAACGTCAAGAGATCCTGATTTTATACCGAGCACGTCATGCCACCAACCGCACAAAATAACACAGTCAGAATTAAATGATCTTGTAAGAGATTTAGAACTATCCAAAATGTAAGGCAGAGTAACTTGGATCAAGACTGCAGCAGTGGAACTTGTTAGAAGACGATGTTTCGGTATGTGTTTTTCGTAAACGCCACAAAGACTTAGAACCATTTTTCAATATGGAGAATAACTTGGTTTTCTGCAGTAACATTAGCGGCTTACTGGCGGCTTTAAATATAAACTATAACCCAGAAGAATGGAGATTGTTTATAGACAGTTCAACATCGAGTTTAAAGGCAGTGTTATTGCATATTGGAAATATTTTACCATCTCTTCCTGTAGGGTATGCAATTCACATGAAAGAATCATATGACAATATGAAGTACCTATTGACATGCATAAAATACGATGAGCACCAATGGCATATTTGTGGCGATTTGACAGTTGTTGCACTTTTACTTGGGCTGCAGCTAGGCTACACAAAGTTTTGCTGTTTTTTGTGTGAATGGGACATTCGGGCAAAGGCACTTCATTACACCAGATAAAACTGGCCTGTTCGTCAATTCCTAGAGCCAGGTCAAAAATGTACAGCATATGCCATTAGTAGATTCGAAAAAAATTTTATTACCACCACTGCATATCAAGTTGGGCCTAATGAAGAACTTTGTCAAGGCATTAGATAGAGATGGGTCAGCTTTTCAATACCTGCGTCAGAAATTTCCAAGACTAAGTGAGGCAAAGGTTAAAGAAGGTATTTTTGTTGGGCAACAGATGCGAAATATTTTGAAAGATACACAGTTTGAAAACACTTTAACAGGTATTGAAAAAACTGCTTGGAATGATTTCCGTCTGGTGGTCACTAATTTCTTGGGAAATAGAAAAGCTGACAACTATAATACCCTTGTCAAAAATATGCTGTCATCGTATCAAAAGATGGGCTGTAATATGTCTCTTAAGATACATTTCCTACACTCACACCTGGACTTTTTTCCTGACAATTGCGGAGCCGTGAGTGTTGAGCACGGCGAACGTTTTCATCAGGATATTTCAACAATGGAATAAAGGTACCAGGGAAAGTGGAATCCTTCCATGCTTGCAGACTACTGTTGGACTGTTGGTAGAGATGCTCCAGAAACGATCCATTAAAGAACAGCAAAAAGACAGCGCATATAGTGATTCTTATAAGTATATGAATCTTGTTAATTTTTTTTTATATATCCTTAAAAATAAAAAGTTTTTTTTCTAAACCGCAACTAATTTGTTTTTATTTTATTGTCATTTTTGGATTCAGCGCCCCAAAATTAACAAAGAAGTGCACTTTTCCCACAAGATACAATTAAAAAACTAAAATTTGTTGTCCAGATTATTAGCTTTCTTCCCGAATTTGAAAATTAAAGCTAATTTGTTCCGATGCTGGTATCAACCGTTAAAGATTTAAGTTCCTTATATAGGACCATAAACGTTTAAAGGTGCTTGATTCGAAATCTATCCGTTTTTTCAACAAGGATGTCACGCGCCAAAATCACGTAACCTTTTTTTTATTATTTATCACTTTTCCGTAATTTGAATTTCTCTTCATTGATAATAGAGTGCCCATTCCTAGGCCAAACCCTTTTCAATGACTTTCTTTTGGCAAATTTAATAGTTTATTGATTGTATAATTTCACTCGTATATCTTTCTTTCTCAGCGATTCAGTATGGTGTTGACGATCAGCAAAAAACACTGTAGTTTTTCTCCGTTAGTTGGTTTCCTATAAAACATATCTTCTTCAAGGCCACTCAAGATACCTTCTTCTAAAACGTTACGTGTTCGTCGTGGTGCAGGGGTCGTTTCGTCATTTTCCGGAATCTGAGATATTAGGCCCCAAGCACCAATTCATGGACTAGCACTCTTTTTTTTGTGTAACTTAAGTCTAGTCATTTTGGTTTGGGTGCTACGTCTTCCATTTTTTTATCGGATTTTGACCCTACGCGGTAAGTTCTTTTTTATATACGTTCGGGCCACGTGCCTTAATGCAAGTGCGATTGTCTTCAATGAGTAGTTTTATCTCAGACAGAGAGTAGAGTAGATTTTTAAACAGTCTTTCTCTCTCTAGGGTTTTTTTCCATCTACAACCATAATTTTTGGCAACGAGGCAAGCAGCCCCTGCCCAGTGACGTGCCCACTACTGGCCACTTTTTGACATGAGTTGAGGACATCTCGGCCGCGCCTGACAAAGAAGACCTACAGATAAGTTTAATACTTAGGCGCAAAACTATCTGTAAATACTTCGGGTGTATAGCATGGTAGACGTTTTGCGGGGTTATCTCGAAAAATAATTTTGTCAGGTTGTATTTAAGATTCGTAACATCCTTTCTTTTTTTTTATTACTCGCACTCCAGTAGTGGAGCACATGTGCGTTTTTTTATTAATCAATATATTGTGATTCATTTAATATCTTGTTTTATCTGGCTCTCCCTGTGTGTACTGTTACTTAATTTTCGTCATCTCTGTTAGATTCTCCTTTTGTGTGGTGGTCAAGCAAAACAAGTTCCGACTAACACCTCGGGGAGTTGTGGCTTAATCCATCCCAAGTCACTGGCGCTCTTAAACCCCCCCCTACTCTCCGCTTTTTTGAACTACGGCCTAAATTTGCACGCCACTAGACCACTGTTTTGCTTGGACCAACCGTTATCATTGTGTTTTATTAATTAACCGAAAAAAGCCGTGGCAAGGATTTTTCAAACTATCAACCATGCAAATCAATGATATGATGCTGCCTAGCTACGTGCCGAATTGATTTGTTCCACTGACCGTTCGTTATTCTTGCAAATTGAATGTTCAAACCACATATTACTCTTCCTCTTTTCACTGTAATGTTAAATAAAATATAACCTACTAACTGTGATTTTTTAATGAGTACTGTCAACATTATCTGTCTTCACTACCAGAAAATCGCAGAGCAAACCGACGTAAGCTTCCTTTCTATGGAACTGAGTAACCATCCTATAAAAGGTTATTCCTTAACCCTGTATGGTATCATGTATATTTAAATATACAAATATCAAACAATTTGTCCTTTGCGTCTTATGACCCGCAAGTCGAAGCTACACAGTGTATATCTGAATATACACGTGTGATCGATCGTTTTCGGTAGATTTCGTTGGTAAATCACCCACTTCGGGCAGTTATTTCAGTCTGTACGGAAAGTGTCGTGCTGTTTGGACGCCGCCGGTAAACACGTGATATCAAATAACATTATTAGTGTGTTTTGTTGGCAGAATTGAGCATACATTTTTTTTGAATACTTATTGAGGTATGTTTACTACAAAGGCATGTTAGAAATAATATATATTTTATATTATTGTACTTTTCAGGCCACTGACGTCACTGTATATTTGAATGTACATTGTTCAATTCTGGTTTCGACTTTACAGAAATTATGGATCCAAAAATATTTTATGGAAAAAAGGAACATGTTACAGTATTAGTACCGGACTTGGATAGTGAGGAGGATTTCGATAGTGATGATAGCTTATTAGACGAAACATATAAACCCACTTTGCTAGATTATGTTGGTAGGTAAAATACTATGGAAATAATAAGTTGTGTTGCTATTTTTTTTTTTTTAGAAGAGGATTTATTGGAGAGCAGTAGTGGAGAGGAAAGTAATGCTGACAACCAAGGAAACAACAATGAGGAAAGGAATAATCTAGGTAGCTGGAATGAAGATGACGAGATCCCTCTCAGACAACTTCGAGATAAGATTCTCCGTGTGTCTGCTGTTTCTGTTCAAGGTGGGGTCAAAAACATGAAAATCAAGAAGGCTCCCTTGAAATGGCAAAGCTCTAATAAGGAGCCCAGTGATTTGCCAACTTGGAAAGCTCAACTACCCTCTCAGACATCTGTAGAGACACCATTGCATTATTTTTACAAATTAGTCGATAAGGAGTTGTTGGAATACATAGTAGAACAAACGAACCTATATGCGGCACAGAAGGACATAGGTCTAAATTTCTGCATGGATTCCAAAGAGCTAGAGCAATTTATTGGCGTTTGTTTCTATATGTCACTGATTACAGTGCCTGGGACCAGAAGATACTGGAGCAGTGCCTGCAGAGTGTCTCAAGTGGCAGACGTAATGCCTCTTCGGAGGTGGGAACAAATAAAAAAGTTTCTGCATTTTGCAGATAATTCTACATTGCCAGTTGAACCACCAGATCGTCTTTTCAAAATCAGGAAGCTCGTGGAGAGTATAAGGAAAAATTTGAGACTAATTCCCATGGAACAGCACCTTTCTGTCGATGAGCAGATAATACCGTTCAAAGGCCGTAGCTCCCTGAAACAGTACAATCCGAAAAAACCAAAAAAATGGGGTTACAAAATATTTTGTTTGGCAGGTGCTAGTGGTATTGTCTACGACTTTGAATTTTACTGTGGGGCCACGAATCAACCGGAAAATCTACCGGATATAAGTGCTAGTAGCAATATAGTGATTCGACACTAAACTAAAGATAGTGAAATGGCAGGACAATAAAGTGGTAACTTTGCTAAGTACATTCATAGGCGGCTATCCTGTGACTACTATAAAAAGATTTGACCGCAAAAACCGACAAGATGTAAACATCCAATGTCCCAGTATTATACTCATATACAATAAATTCATGGGGGGTGTCGATTTGATAGACTCTCTTCTGGCATTGTACAGAACGAAAATAAGATCAAGAAAATATTACTTGCGTATTTTCTTTCATTTGATGGATATGTGTGTAGTTATCTCTTGGCTTTTATATAGGCGCGCTTCCGACGACTGTGGCGTATCTAAAAAACACCAAATGTCGCTTTATGATTTCAAAAGTGATTTAGCACAAAGTTTATGTTGGGTGGGAAAACAAAACAAAAGAGGTCGCCCTTCATCAAGTTCTCAGTTACCACCCGTAAAGAAACAAAAGATATCTAGTGTTCGACCAAATATAGATTGTAGAACAGATGGAATGTCTCACTGGCCCACATATGAACAAAAAACTGGAAGATGTAAGAATGGACGTTGCCAAAAGATTACCAAAGTAATGTGTACCAAATGCAAGTGTTATTTATGTTTTGTGCCGGATAGAAACTGCTTTACTCATTTTCATACATGAAATTATTTTGAAAATGTATTTGTTACTTCATTTGTGGTTATTCAAGCTTTTGTACCTCTTTTAGTTTCAGTTTTTTATTGACGGAATGGTGTAATGTATATTTCAATATACATATGTTTAGTTCAAAAATAGTTTGTTTTGAAGATAAAATATCCAAATAAAGTTTATTCTTATGCTCATAAACAAATCATATTTCGACCAAAACAATTTTTTTAACCAGTCCAACTAGGTGTGTACAATAGAGGGTTAATATAAAACATAGGCCGGATCAAAAATTTCATCCTGTCGAAACAACGGAACTCCCACGGCCTCCCACAGGCTTATATAAATAGTTGGAAAACGAACTCGGAAGTTCCCTGCTCCCTTCATTCCAACAAAAATCCCAGGGGAACCTCGTGCGTCTCTCCGCACATACTCAGACAGAGCCTGGATACTTGAAGCCTCCACACAAAGTACACATGTTTTTTCAGCGGAATTTTTGCCCTTTGTAGTACGTACAGAGAGCAGAGAACACGCTGAGCCGCAGCGGAGAGGAGCAATATTATGTCCCGACACTTTACAACCAACTTTCCCCCAACATGACCGAAGGCATAAGCGTACGAATATTTTCTTTCTCTAAAGCCCGTATGACACGATCAAATTTTTTATCGTATAAGAAATTTGTGAGATGGTTTTGCGTGACGTGCATGTCATATAACATCCAAAAAGCGTATCTCATTTTCAAAATTTTCTCATTCACAATATTTCCACGCCAGTGACGTAGGAAGTAAAGTGCTAAAGGCCAGATTTTCGTTCTCAGTTCCACATTACTGTAGTTCGACAAAAAGTGTACACTGTCAATGCATTAGAAATGTCAAAATTATGGTACAACAATCTAGAGTACTGTTTACACTGATATACTAGGTTTAAAAGCTTTACTAATAAAGGGTTTTCCATCAAGGACATTTTTTTTAAATAAAACTCAAACCACTTGAGATATCACGAAAATTTTATTGGATACTCAAAACATTTTTCATATGTTATTCAAATTTTTTACTAGACTATGAATTGATTGTCTACTGGGACGAGAATTACGACGTATTGGCGTTAATGCTCTTAAAGTTGCAGTCACCGATTCGGAACTTCGGTAGTAAATTTTAATTATTTATAAGCGTTCTTCGTTCGTGTGCTTCACCATGATAAAAATGTTTTCTTTACTGAATGTTTTGACATCGACAGTTCGGTAATTGATTTAAAGGTGCGTTCAAAGTAAAAGTTCAAAGTTGTCAAGTCCCTATTGTAAAACACGATACTATTTACAAAAAATACAGAACAGCTCTCCGCTGAATAAATTCTAATTTGCTAATAGACTTTTGATAAATAGGTGCCCATATATAGGCGAAGCATCCTGAAGCTTGCTACTGATGTTAGATATACGCCCCAAATTAGACCTCTGGGGAACTCCCGAAGTAGCTATGTAGTTATTAGATTTGAAACTACCATATTCCACAAACAGTATTCTGTTCATAAGATATGAGTGGAGCAGCTAGAGTAGATTTTCAGAAAATCCAGGGTTTGATAATTTAAGCAGCAATAAACTATGGTCGATTCGATCAGACGCTTTCTGTATATCTGTATAGACTATCAATCTGGCTTTGCTGATCCAGAGTCTCGGCAACAAACTTTGTAGAACAAGCTAAATTAGAAGACGTAGATCGCCCAGAAACAAACCCATGCTGAAATTCAGAGATGTGAGACATGGAAAAAGTTATAAATAAGCTCATATAAATAGTAGTATATTTGAGGTCATTTGGGGCTGTGGAGTTTTATTTGATTTTTTTTTTATATCGAAACAGCCACGCAGGCCAAAGCCTAAATGCCGGAACACCGCGGCTGCTATGATGATCCCAAAGAAATTTTGTTAATACGATTTTTGAACTGCCTAAGGTTAGTAGAACTGGGAAAAGCTTCCTCCCGTAGATTGTTCCACAATCTAGACACCCTCGGAACAAAGGAGCGGTCGTATCGGCCAGTTCTGGATGTACGAAGTTTGACACGGTTAGGATGGGACGCCGAAGTCAGGCGGGTCTGTCTGGCAGGCACATCGCGCGGCGGCATCATGGAAGAGAGCTCTGAGGAGCAAAGCCCGTTGGTGTAGCGAAAGAAAAGAGCTAGATCGCCGACGGCCCGCCGGTGCGAAAGAGTCCCGAGACTGTCTGTTAGAGAAGAGTCATCGATCAGTCGGACCGCCCTCCTCTGGACAGCGTCGAGCATGGACAATGTAGTCGGGGCGGCAGCACCCCAAATGTGTGAGCAATACTCGAGGCTAGGCCTTATCTGGGCCTTGTATAGAGTGAGAAGGTCATGCGGAGAAAAGTACTTCTTAGCCCTAAACAAATAGCCTAGCTTTTTCCCAGCAGCTGCAGCTATTGAAGAGATGTGTTCGTGCCAGATCAGTTCCTCGGTGATCTGGACTCCGACCAGCCGAAATGAATGGCTCTTTGGTAGAACTCGACCGTCCATCGAAACTGTATGAGCGCTAGGACGCTTTTTGTTCGTCAAAGTACAGTACTGTGTCTTGGAAGCATTGAACTGTACAAGATTGTTGCGGCCCCAAGCAGTGATAGCTTCCAGGTCTCTTGTCAGAGAAGAAGTCGTCGCTAGTCATCTTTTTTCCAGCTCAGCGGCAGACATCCGCTTGTCACTCTGAATTCCTGCATGTAGAGTGCTGTCATCAGCGAAGCTGTGGATTGAGTTGATCGTGCAGAAAAGGAGGTCGTTGATATGTAAGAGAAACAGTGTTGGAGCCAAGACCGATCCCTGGGGAACACCCGCGTTGACGTTGTGGGATGAAGAGGAGAATCCGTCAATTACGACGGATATCTTTCGGCCAGAGATAAAGTCAGCCACCCATCTGCAAAGCTTTTCTGGGAGGCCGTAGGATGGAAGTTTGGTTAAGAGGGCAGCGTGCCACAGCTGATCGAACGCTTTCGTGATGTCAAGAGCAACGACATGAGCCTCACCATGAGACTGGATGAGTCTACTCCACCGCTGCGTGACGTAAGCTAAGAGGTCCCCTGTGGATCGTTGGTGCCGAAAACCGTACGGCCTGTCGCTAATCAAGCTGTGACGTTCGAGGTAGTCTAGAAGCTCGCGATTTATGCACCTCTCCATCACTTTACTTATAACAGAAAGCAGAGCTATAGGCCTGTAGTTGTAAGGGTCGGTTTTAGATCCTTTTTTTGGGATGGGCTATCTGCCACATAATACAGCCAGTAGTTACTTTATTATACATTTTACATGATATCTACTAAAAACGCTGACTGCTTTCATAAAAACCTGAGAATAACTATTAAAAATCAAAGTATGTGAATGTCAATCGCTTCTTCAGACGCTGCAAAGTAAATCAAGTTTTTTTATTTTTCTTCCAGCAATAAAAATTCGATAAAACATGGATTCCCCCCAGAAACGGAATGAAAATTATACTTCTTTATTACCCACTCCATGCAAGAGCGGGGAGAAGCTGTATTAGAGATCGGTTTGCGTGGGGTGTATTTTTGATTTTATTGTCAAAGCTCCTAGTCAGCGCAAATATACACGAGAAAATAAATTTGCTCCTTCATTTCATGAAAGAGTTCTGAGTACTGAAGAGTTTCATCAGAATCGTTATTACCAATGGCCAATGGCTTTGCGAGATCTTATTGTCCGAAATTACACAATGTCAGGAAACAAGGAAAAAAATGACTCCCTTAAAGATTTTTTTGTTGAACGCCCATGTGTAGGGATTTAATTGCATTCTGTCGCGGAGTTGTGTACTTTAAGGGCTTAGGGGTGCACAGTGGGTGGATTTATGTGCAAAGTGGGGTCAGGCAGGTTTATGATATTCCTTTTAGAGGAAATGTTGATGGAAGTCTGCTGTGACTGCCAAGGTACACGAGTGAAAGCTAATTTGAATATACCTCTTGAGGATATTTTCCTGGCTGCCTTACGCGGCTTAGCTCATGAATATATTTTCTCTGCTATAATTTTAACAACAAAAGTTCGTCGGTGCGTGTACATATTGCAAAAATTCCTGTCCCGTTCTTGTGTTATTGAAATTTTGAGACCGTATAGCACAGACACACCCACGGTTATCTAGGAAGGGAGTTTTTCAATGAAGCAGACTTTTATTCGATCAGCTTTTTTGTGCAAAGTTCTGTCTTCCTGCGCTCTACAGTTTTACCAATGGGCGATGGACTTCGCTGCCAGTGGATATCCATCATAATTGGTAGGATTCCATCACTATCTCACAATATCAACGCGGTAGCTCCACAGGGATGGGTTTTGGCCTCAACGTTATATCTATTACACTTTGATTAGTTGCGTTAGAGTAAGATAAAATAACAGA